GAGTAGGAACCAACTCCTCTCCAGTTGGGTTTCTCAATTGGAGTGTCCTGTTTGGCCTCCGTGGACCTACTACGAAGCCTACATCAATAATTCAAATCATTCAATGCGTAAGGTTCATCGAGTATTTCATCCTTTTAAAAAATCACATTGATTATATATTAATAGCTACTTGATCATATTACATTTGTCAATAGTTTGTTTTTAAAATTATAGTTACCATTAACACAAATATGAATTGATCAATTGGCTATTGATATTCCATTAATAAGATTTTTTAGAAGAATGAAATACTCAACGAGTCCTAAATATTGATGGTTCGGATCATTAATGTGGACTCTGTGGTGAACCCACAAAGCCCAACAACACGTTCTAGTCCAATTTCAAACCGGAAAAAGACACAAGGCTTTCGGGTATGTTAAGGTCACTGTGCCTTGCAAATCATCAGTAATGTGGACAAAACTTAGCATGTTAAGAATAGTATTTTAGTTTTTATTTTTTTTATTTGAATCCGTGTGTGAAAATTCTTTGGCTGCATAACAAATGGTAACGCACATAAAAAAAGTGGCATCTATTTTTCTTTTTAGATAGTAAGTGGCATCCATTTTAATGTACCAGGAAAATCGTCATTGAAGGCCCAACTTGTTATAGTGCATGTTAAGAATAGTATTTTAGTTTTTATTTTTTTTATTTGAATCCGTGTGTGAAAATTCTTTGGCTGCATAACAAATGGTAACGCACATAAAAAAAGTGGCATCTATTTTTCTTTTTAGATAGTAAGTGGCATCCATTTTAATGTACCAGGAAAATATATATTTTGTCTCTCATCTGTTAATATGAGAATACAAATATTTTAGTTCAATCAACAAGCTTAGATTTTTTTATATTTTTTTTTATACCCATTTTATGTATGTGTGCAAAATGCGTTAGGCTTAACAGATTGGTTTTTGCAGTTGTGTTGCAGCCGGATAGATTCTCTTTTGCTACTAAATTCTGTCTTCACTTGTGCACCGAATTCGGCAGAGTTCACGTTGCAAGTTTTGAGCTCGACTTTTCTTCTCCATTTTTCCTGTCAATTTCCAAAATATGAAATTGAGGCATGTGTTTTTTCAAAAAGCCTACTTGCATAGAAGAATTTTACAGAAACAGTCACAGAAGAAAAATGGAAAGTTTACTTGCACAGAAGAAACAGTCACAAAAGATAAACAAAGGGTGAAGCTCACATTTGAAATTCTTCTGTGTAAGTACTTTTTGTCTCTCTTCTGTGACTGTTTCTATGAAATTCTTTTGTACAAGTATGATTAAGTACTAGAGGTTGTTGAATGGTGCTTTTCTCTTCATTCCCCATAGACTAAAACTAAGATACTTCGCCTAGGGCATGAACTAGGAATTGGATGTTGCCCTGACCTCAACCTTGGAACTGAAAAATGCAATGGATTTGAGAGACGAGCGCTTAGATTTAAAGATGGCATTTCATGTAATGGACTCAGAATGGAACTAGGCATTGGATGTGGACTTGAACTAGGGCTTGGTTTCATATTTTGATGTTCCAAAATTGAACTTGAAGCTTGACTGATACTCTTATCTGATTTTCTAACCCTTTTTTTTTTTTGGGCAGAAAGTGAGTCCCATATACATACTTCCATTATGTCAATCTGAGAAATTAACAGAACTACATCTAATAATACTTTCATGGAAAACAATAGTAAAATAGCATACCTATCCCTATCATAAACAGTAAGCATTATTCATATCTGAGGCATATGAATCATGATGATTCCTTGTTTGAAATTCATGTCATTTCATGTTCATTAATTTTATCTAAAAAGCGAATCATCACTGCATATTAAATCCACACACACACACCAACAATAAAAAAAACATGGACCACGGACTAAAAAAGAGCCAGAGATCAAAATTTGGAGAAAAGAAAACATAATGTACATCCAAAATATATGAAAGTGGTGACAAGACTGCACTACATGTTCTATTAATTCAAAAAATGCAAATCAGTACACACACACACACACAAAAAAAAAAACTCCGCTTCTGTATGTGTCGAGACTAACATTATATATGGTTAAAGGTCATCACAGAGAGAGAGAGAGCGATGAGAGTTTCATGGCAATGGCAAATGACAGTTGACAGAATAAGACTAGCAGGCAGGTAAATTTCTCAAACCATGTGAAAACATGTTTTCAGGAACAAACACGTTTTTGCAGAGTTTAGGCCCAATAAAACAAGAAGATAAGGCAGAAGTGGAGTTGAAAAGCAAACAACATGTGTTTGAAAAGCCTAGTCAACAAACGCATCTTCCTATTGAAAAGTTTTAAAACAGAAGTGATTGCTATAACCATTGAGAGCGTGTTTATTAACCATATTAATATCAGCAAACAAAAAAACATGTATAGATAATATTTATTTATCATACTTCACCTCCTAAGCTCGCAACCCCACAATCCCAAGCATCAATTTGCATTCTGTTTTATCCCTAAACTCTCTATACTCGGGCATAGTGTGTGCCCAACTTCGCGGGAAACAAGCCTCAAATGGACAAAATTTCCCTCAATCCAAAAAGAGAGCAACTAATGTACAAATTTTCTTTAGGTAGTCAACTGAATCTAAGAAGTCCCAAAGAAATCCTATCTATGTACACAACTCGCAATCTAAAGCATGTTTTCTGTTTCATTTTCTTTCACAAATTTCTTTACTCAAGGGCACGGTGTGCACCCCAGTTTCATAGGGAGTGGAAGTCAAATGGACAAAATCACCCTTTAAACTGAAAATGTAGCATATTTAGGAACTTGATCCAACTAATCCTATTTATCCACCAAAAATGTTTGAGAGCTCTAAATTAAGAGCTCTAAAGGAGCTCTAATGGGTGGGATCCACTCATTGATGTGATGTTTTGGCCGTCTTCTTCTTTTTTTTCATTTGTTTTTTCTCATTGCCACATAAGTAGAGTTCAATTTAGAGCTCTACTTTTAGAGCTCTCTATCACCACTCATATATCTACACAATTCACAATCTAGATCACCTTTTGGTGTGTGTGCCCGATTCCACGGTCAACGGACCTTAAATGGATCAAATGGTCCTTCAAAAAATCAGAGTTATAAATGAGTTTATAATTGTATACCCACACAAAGGAAACTAGAAGAATAAAACAAAACTAGAAGCAACTACAGGCCTGAGTTTGGATCAATACCAAAACTTATCAAATTGGGTTTAGCTCATTAATTTTCTTTTCTTTTCTTTTCATTTTTTGTTTTCCTTGTTCTCTTTAAAATGATGAAAGAGGCCTTCAATTGTACCTAACCCTTACTTTAAAAGAAGGTTCTGCCTCGTCTCCAACCTTTAGACTGAAGCACTCGCTGAGTATAATTAATCTATGATTTCTTAGAGTTGTTTGGTGTAGCTAAACACATAGACCGGAAGAATGTCCTTTGTTGGCTGACACGTAAAGGTTTTTATGATGACGTGTAAGGCACACCTCCGTACATGCTTGGCGGCACTGCAATAACCAAAAAAAAAATTCTTCTTTTTCCCAATCCATCCCAATCCAAACGGGGGGAATCATTATTTTCTTGAGAACAGATACATCGCACAATTTATTTGGAGATTATTAGTGATTCCCCTTGAGAAATTAGATAGTAGTTGATTTTTCAGACTCCTTAAAAAGAGTTCAAAGTTGTGAAAGAAGAGTTCCCCTTTGAATTTTCAATCTTCAGTACAATGTACATATATTGACTATCACAGCAAAAGTACCACCTAAAACACAAGTACAACACAAATTTCTCCGAAAATTACAAATCGAAACACATAACATGCTTTAATAGTTGCAAATTAAAATTTTATGATTCCAAATCAGTATGCGAAATTTGTGCCTAAATTGTAGTTATCTTTGATACCACACAAAATTATCGAGTATTATAGCAATTGTCAAATTGAGAAATGTGATACAAACTATCATGTGCTTATTAAAATTTTAAAAGATAGCTTGTTTGGTTTGTTTTTGGGAGAGTTGTTTTTGAAAAAAAAAATTTGGGAGAGAGTTTAGAAATTTTTTTGGTTTGTTTGGTTCTATCAAAAGTACCACCTAAAACACAAGTACAACACAAATTTCTCCGAAAATTACAAATCGAAACACATAACATGCTTTAATAGTTGCAAATTAAAATTTTATGATTCCAAATCAGTATGCGAAATTTGTGCCTAAATTGTAGTTATCTTTGATACCACACAAAATTATCGAGTATTATAGCAATTGTCAAATTGAGAAATGTGATACAAACTATCATGTGCTTATTAAAATTTTAAAAGATAGCTTGTTTGGTTTGTTTTTGGGAGAGTTGTTTTTGAAAAAAAATTTTGGGAGAGAGTTTAGAAATTTTTTTGGTTTGTTTGGTTGTATATTTTGGGAGAGTTATTTTTTGGGGAGTTTGGGATGATTTGATATTTTGGGAGAATTTGAGTAGATGTGTGTGAGAGAAAAAGTGATTGAGAAGGAGAGAGGAGAGAGAAAAAGTAATTGATTGATGTGTAAGAGAGAGAAAGGCCTTGTTTGGTTTGTATTTCCTAAAAATTTTAAGAAAAATTCTCTACAAATAAGTTTTCAAAAGTAATCAAACCAAAAAAATTTCCCAAAACTTGTTTGGTTTACAAGTTTTCCAAACAAATCTCTCTCTCATACACATCAAATCAATCACTTTTTCCAAAACTCTCTCTCAAAATAATTTTCCAAAACATCTTTTAAAAAAAACCAAACCAAACAACTTTTCATACTTTTTATCTCTAAAATTCATCTCCCAAACTCAAACCAAACATACCCTTTGGAAATTTTTTTAGAAAAACTCAAACCAAACAATTTTTTAGAAATTTTTTTCTAAAACTAATCTCCCAAATGCAAACCAAACATTTTTTACAAGTTGTTTCACAATTTCAACACCAAAATTTTATGATTCAAATTGAGTAAACGGTAAAAAAAAATGAATGATGAATATTTGTTTTTCTACAAGAAGAATTGAAGGAAGTAAATTTTACGTGTGTATGTGAACTATGAACATCTTAATTTAAAACTTTCAATACAATGAGGGGGGAGGAGAGCCATGGTTGATTTGTTCCCGACCGCTCGAAATCTTAACCAACATGGCTAGAACCTCCTTCATGTTTGGCCTAGCCTGTGGTGCCTCGGCGGTGCACCGTATCCCAACTTTTAGCAACCCACACATCTCCTCTGCCCCCTCCGCAAGCCCCGATCCCAAAAGAACCACCGGTATCGTGGCTTGCCCGAGACCTTGTCTCCTATATCCCATAACCCTTCTCGCCCATTCCACCAGACACTCTTCCCCTCCATCCACCGCACGCCTCCCCGTGGCTAGCTCCATTGCTAGTACCCCAAAACTATAAACATCGCCTTTTGTAGTGGCCTTCCACGTTTGCCCGTATTCGGGCGCGACATACCCGACTGTCCCTGCCACCATTGTGCTCACGTGGCTCCCTCCGGCATTGACAACCCTAGCTAGACCGAAATCTGTGACACGGGCTTTTCCATTCTTGTCAAGTAAGACATTGCTTGCTTTGACATCTCTGTGCACGATAGCGGGATAGCACTCGTGGTGTAGGAAAACCAATGCGTGTGCCACATCAACGGCAATCTCAATTCGCCTCCGCCATGTGAGCCTTGTTCGATCTGAAACAAGATCCTCCAAGCTCCCACCTTCCATGTACTCGTAAACTAGTAATTTTTCCGACCCATCAAGGCACCACCCGTAAAGGGTTACGAGGTTTGGGTGCGGCCAACCAAATCCATTTCCACTAAGAACCTCCATTTCTGCTCGAAACTCTTTTTCGCCCTCAGTGCCCTCTCTTTGTAGCTTCTTCACCGCGACTTCTCTTCCATCGGGCAACATTCCTCTGTACACGGTACCAAATCCCCCCCTCCCGATAATTCTGTCATCGGTAAAGTTCCCCACGGCCTTCAAAATGTCAGCGTGTGTGAATACTGTTTTGTCCAATCGAATGACCTTGACCGTGTCTGACAACCATGGCGAAGATGAACCTGAACTCGATGCAAAGTCATGTTGAACCTTTGTTTCCTGCAAGAGATATCCAGGCGCGGTATCGATTGGGCTTTTTACCACAAGGCAGATTACGAGTGTCATGATTCCACACGCTAAAAACGCCATTATTAGAGTGGAAAACACCAGAAATGGAACAAACTTTGTACGCTTTCTCGTCTTTCCGTCTTCTGGGCTTGGATTATTAACCGTGGCGTTGTTTATGAAAGACAGAAGGCGTAACAATGGATCACCAAGAAAAGACTCTTTCTCGAATGTCGCCAATTGTCCAGTCGGTGGGATTGCACCGGTGAGCAACGGGTTGTAAGAGACGTTGAACTTGCTTAGCTCTGTCAAATTGTTCAAGCTCATTGGGAAAGCTCCGGAGAAATTGTTATACGACAAATCGAGGATTCTCAAGCACTGGATGCCCCCGATTTCTGTTGGAATTGTACCCGAAAAATTGTTTTGCGAAATGTTGAGCACGACAAGTGGCACTTTCCCAATCTCGGGTGGAAGTGTACCATAAAACTGATTGATCCCCAAATGCACCATACTAAAACTCTGCATTTTACCTATCTGAGGAGGAACTTGACCGGACAATTGATTACCGCTGAGTTGAACATAACCGGATATCTGAAACGTTCGCATCCCACCAATGCATACCGGGAATATGCCATACCCTTTAAGCAACCGATCCCAAAGGCTTCTACAATTCTTCCTTGTAAGAATCGTATAGACGAAACTAAATGGAGGGTAATTTGCCGGTATCCACCTTTTCATCGCCAAGCACTCACCCGAACCAGCAGGCATTTGATCATTCTGTCGATTTTCCTGGAAAGTAGACGTTGCATTTAACCCAATGTTTGCTAATTCTGGTGGGAACAAACCCGAAAGTTGATTGTTCGCGAGGTTTAGCCATAACAAGCTGTTACAATTCCCCAATTGAGGTGGGATTCCACCGGTTAAGAAATTGTTCGCGAGCATCAACCAAAGGACCGAGCTTAAATTTCCAAAACTCGGTGGAATTGAACCGCTAAGCAGGTTGAATGATAAATCGAGAGCTTGAAGACCTGTCAAATGTCCATATTCTGAAGGGATGGTACCGGTAAACTGATTGTGAGAGAGCATTAAGAACTTCAAGCTCTTCATTTGAGAGATCTCAACCGGTAATGGACCCGAAAAGTTGTTGTAACTCAGGTCTAATCTTGAAATGTTCGGTAATCTTAAAATTCCCGACGAATTTATCCCACCAGTGTATGAATTCGAATGCAGCAGGAGAAATTTGAGCTGAATGAATAGCCCGAAAATTGGTTGTATATCGCCACCAAAATTGTTCCTGCTCAAATCAAGAAATGTTAAATTTGTCAATCCAAGCAAGGAATCTGGAATGTTTCTCGAGAAAGTGTTGTTCCCCAAATAAAGTCCTTCTAAACCCGAAATGGATCCGATTTCTGCCGGAATTAGACCGGTGAAATTGTTCCCCCAGAGACTCAGAATCACCAGACCTTTGCAATTCGAAATCTGCTTCGGAACTTCTCCGATAAAAGCATTTTCCGAGAGGTCTAAAACTTGGAGACTACAGTTTTCTGAGAAAATTGTAGGGGAAACTATTCCCCCAAACAAGTTCTCGGAAACTGAGAATTTTCGAAGCTTTGTGAACCCCGGCCACACGTTGCCGGTGAAATTATTTGTGCTGAGATCGAGAAACTGTAGGTTCCGGCACTGATCGAAGGCTCGTTCGATTGTTCCGGTGAAATTGTTTGCCGACAAATTGGCTACAATCAAATTGTTGCAGATTGCTGGAAAACTGAATTGAATTGCTCCGAAGATTCGATTAGTTGAGAGATCGAGAACTTCCAAGGCACTGAGTCCAGTGAGATTGAGCTCGGCGTTGATTATGTTGTGTGATAAGTTGAGAAGTTTGAGTTTATTACACCCCCCTAAGTCCGCCGGGAAGCCGCCGTTGATGGTATTGTTGGAGAGGTCAAGGGAGGTGAGGGCAGTGAGGGCCGAAAAGTTTCCGAATATTTCTCCGGTGATTTCGTTGCCGGAGAGGTTGATTCCAGTGACTCGGCTGCCCATGCCGTCACATGAAATTCCGGGCCAAACGCACGGTGAAAGATTCTGCTGCTGGTTCCAGAGAGAGTATCTTCCTTGATTTACGCGATTTGTATTTTCGAGATAGATTTTCAAACTCAAAAGTGCTTGTTTGTCAGAGTCTAATGAATCTGCCTTAACAATCCAACCACCTATAAAAATTCACAAGAATCAAAATCAAAATACTAAACACATACATATATGAAAAATATCAAAAGTTTCTGAGAAGAAAGTAAGATGATAGTTGATACAACCCAAAGACAGAAAGTGAACATGATTAGTACCTGTGATTAAGATTAAGGAAAAGATTAATGCGACACGACAAGCATCGACTTTGTCGTTAGACATGATCAGCTTAAACTTACTAATCTGATCTTCTTCTTGTTCTTCTACTACTACTAGTCTAATTTAAAGTTTGCTAGACAAAAACTTATTGGAGAACTCATGAGGTGAAATTAATTGGGAAAAATAAAAAAAATTAAAGTACAAAATTATATGGGTATATGTATGTACTATATATGTATGTGGGTTGAATTCAGAGAGCCTGCAGATGAGATCATAGACCAAACAAACTTAGAATAAATGCACGTACGCCACAATATTTTACTCTATTGCTTTCATACATATTTTAAAAAAAAATAAGTTAAATTAAAATTTTAAAATTAAAAAAATAAAAATAAATAATTGTATGTTAATGTCAAGGTTTGATTGATTAAAATATGTGTATGAGTGTGTGATGGGTTGTTAAATTAGAGTAGAAGTTTTTTTTGTTTGGACACTGTTGTTTTTGTGGTGGGAAGAATAGGGAGGGGTTGGAATTTGTTAGAACAGAGAGAGAGAGAGAGAGAGAGAGAGAGGGGTTGTTTGGAAGATGTGGTTAACCAAAAATGACAGCCGCCCATGTTGACTGGCTTTGTCTTGTGTTGCTTGTAGATATTGGGCTCTTAAAAAGAGGATTGAAATCAGGACGAATTATAATTCAGTCTATTTTTAAAAAAACTAATTACAGATACATTAAAAAAATTATATTTTAATTATTAATATTTTTAAAATTTATCATTAATCTGGAATTATTTTTTTAAATACTGATATATAATTTTCCTTGAAATTGAAGGGACAGTGTAAAATTTTTGCTTTCACATTTATTTTTTGTTTGTTATGGCTTTCCTGGAATTTTTCTTAAGATAAAAGTTGATAACAAAAAAACAGAAGTTAAAAGTTTTTATTCCCCAACTTTCAAATAATCAACTTATTTAAGTTATTTCTACTTAATAAACGATAAATAAAAGTTACATCAAATAGACTGACATAAATTTTCAAATTGAAATAAGGTATAATCACCTCCTAAAAACCGTGTCAAACAATCCCTATATATTTCTAGAACCTAATCACTAATTTTCTTTTTTCTTTTTATGTTTTGGTCAATTGCCTTACCTAATTTACTTTAGTGTTATCCATTTTTTAACCCAACTACTACTATTGTAGTAAATAAAATAAACTTACTAAAACTTTATTTGGGGGTGTTGGGGGATTAGTTGGGTAATTGGTGGCGACTTTGATATCCCAAAAGCGAGAAAAGAAAAATATGAAAAACGGCAAATTATACTTGTGATTTTATAATTTGTTTCTTGTATTAATTTGGTCCCGACCCAACAAATTTAATTGTATTAATTTTACTCTCAATTTTTCATATTATGTCAATTTAATCCAATATTCCAATTGATCACATTCGTTGGGAATTTTGACAGATATTAAGGCTCTATTTGTTTTGACGTAAAATATTTTACACAAAAAAAATATTTTTATTGTAAATTGATTTTGCACAAAAAAATATATTTTTGTCTTTGTTTTTATTTTTTGATGTTACTAAACAACAAAAAATGACAAAAATATTTTACGTCAAAATAAACAGAGCTTAAGGGTAAAGGGTTAATTCAAAGGGCACTATTTCAAAATACGTATGCAATTCAGATAAGTAAGCATATAAACAAGTAATAAAGAAATGAATATCATAATATGTATGCTGTCTAAATGGTAAAAGTGTTCTTTTTGAAACCCAAGGTCTGGGATTCAAATCTTGCTAACGCCTTTAAATAATATTATTTATTTTAGGATGAGAAAAGTTGTCACGTGACAGAAGGAGAAGTCACCATATTATTAGATATCAAATCATATACTTACATATATAATAGTAGAAAAATGCTTGGGAGCACTGAGCAAGGATCCTCTAGAGTGATTTTTCTCTAAAGTTTCCTAGAGTGCTACATTGTATGGTTGAGATTTACTGGCAAGTCACATCAATTTTTCTGATGTGACTTGCCAGTAAATCTCAACCACACAATGTAGCACTCTAGGAAACTTTAGGAAAATTTCACTCTAGAGGATCCTTAGTGTGGGGGCACTAATTAGTGCTCCCACTAATTAGGTGGCAGTGGGTCCCGCCATTAATGATGTGATGTTTTGATCTTGGAGTTGTATTTTTTTTTTTTTACTTTTTTAATGCATTAGTCTATTAGTGGTGATGTTTTTAATGGGATGAATCATTATTGATACAATAATGATTCATCCCCCTTTTTCTCCCACCCCCTTTGACACCCTCTCTCTCTCATTGGTTACATTTTCTTTTTCTTTTTCTTTTTTTTTCCTACTCCTCCAATCACCACCCGCCACGTGGCAAGGGGGGGGTGAGGGGGTGACCCCCAAAAGGGGGTCCCAAGCATTATTCTTATTGATAATAGTATAGATGAAGGAACTAATTTATTCCTTAATTTCAGTCCAATTTCCAACCAACCTCTCAATTACTTTTAAAATAGCGAATGGACTATTTTGTTATTTGATTGCAATCCAATTTTTAAATGGATATATAAATTGACATAACATGAAAAATTCAAGAGCAAAGAGGATTGTTATAAGTTAGGGCTGCAAACAAATTGAACTGAGTTGAACCAAGCTTTGTAGGACACAAGTTCGGCCCGTTTGTTTATTGAGCTTAAAAATCCAACTCTAGCTCAACTCGATAATTAATCTAACTCGAGCTTGGTTTGAAATTCAATAATGAATTTTTTTAACTATTATTTACATATTTTTATATTATTTAATATATAAATAATATAGTTATTCTCTTATTTAATAAAGATAAATGAGTTGAGTTTTACAAGTTGAGTTTATTTAAGCTCAAGGTCCGTTTGTTTATTAAACGAGTTTTAATTTGAACTTGTTTATTTACTTAATAAATTGAACCAAACTAACTTTTTAACGAGCCGAGTTTAGCTTGTGAACAACTCCAATTCGATACATTTACAAGTTTAAGTATAACTGTCTCACCTATTAACCTTTTAAATTTGAATCTAATAAAAGTAAAATAATATCATAATTGTTGAGTTTATTGTATATTTTGTCACTATTAAATTTTAAAAGTAACATTTTTTTTATTGATAAATTATTGTCCAACATTTCCGTTCGATAAAATTATCATAATTATGTTTACCACTTTCAAGTGCCAACACAAACTAAATTGGCTATTCAAGTTCATTTTTATAGTGAAATGATCCAAATTTTATTGTTCAAAACCTAACTAAACCCACTCATTTAGTAAACTATCGTTCACCCACTTTGGATTAAAAAAAAATTATAAAAAAGAAGCAGCCCTTTTGCGAACTGTAAATGTATCAAAGAAAAAAATTGAAACAAAATGTATTTAAATGAAAATAATTATATTTTTATGGAAGTGAAAATAAGTCTCTATCCAATTACAACTCTCACTTGTTCTGATTTACTACTTCATAAAATTACAAGTATTTTGAATTATTCTCACTGGCAAATGCAAATTTTTCAAAACAAATTCAATCATCTTTGGACAAAAGAAAAAACAAAAAAGAAAAAAAAAATTGGTTTTAATAATAATTTACAAATATTTATATTCAGATCAGATCAAACACAGAATCAGATTTTTAGTTTGAAGTGTCTGAAGTTAATTGGTTCATGTATATCATTGGTTAGTTCATGCATATCATTCGTTGAAGAAACTAGAGTAAAATACATGTAACTTAGTTACATAGATCAGATTTTATTTTTATAATCTGTCCTCAGTGTATATATTATATATATAATTTTTAGGGGTAAATTACATTTTACCTTTTTATGTTTTATTATTTGTTTTATTTTGACTTTTAAAGTTTTTTTTCTACTTGGCCCTTCACGTTTTAAATTTGTTCTAATTTATTTTTACAATTAATTTTTGTAAAAAATTAGATAGAAAATGATACATTGACAATTACCTAGCTTAAAATATATTATTATATTTAATTAACATATCTGACATAAATTTAAATTTAAATATAATAATTTTTTTATGACATGCGACAGCTAATATGATATTTTTTATTCAATTTTAGACTGAAGTTAAATTTAGAAAAAAAAAATAAAACCTAAAAGACTAGAATGAGAAGAAAAAAAATTAAGAATCAAATAAAAAAATGTTAAAACATAAAAAAAAATAAAGTATAATTTATCTTAATTCGATATGTATTTATAGAATCTTAACAGTTCAGTGGCATATGATGTTGATTAATTTGATCATATGAAAGAGAGAGGCAACCAACGGCACTAGACGACGACGTACGGGTTTATTTTTTGTCTTTATGTGTAATTTTTTTGGCATCTTTCAAAAATATGGAAAATTCCCACTCATTGGAATCTTTGCCGCCCTTAGAAAATGAATTGAAGTTTATCTCAATTGTTAAATTTCATAAATAAAATAAAATTGCAAAAGTGAGTTAAGTGAGAAAATGATTTAAAGTATAGTTTGGAAGTAGCATTTTTACTTGGCCTCAAGTTAAATAATAATGACACATAAAATAATTTTTTAAACCCAGTCCAACCATAATTGTGTGTACCCTTATATTCTCAAATTCATTCAAAAATAAAATAAAAAATTATATATATCTATTTGAGAGCCTCTTTAACCTGAGTTTAAATTTGCTAAATAATTTTTTTTACATGACTAGTATAATTTATATTTTAAAAAAAAAATAAAGATAAACAATTTAAAACATAACACATAAATATATATATATATATATATGTGTGTGTGTATGTATGTATTATAGATTTATGCTTCATACCCCCTCTGGGGGTCGACCCCCAGTGAGGTGTCGGCCCCGGATTGGTCCGAAAAAAAAAACTGTTTTTTTTTTTTTTTTTTTTTAAAGTTTTCAGCCAGTGGGGGCTTTTAAGTTTCCAGCCAGTGGGGGCGCGACCCCCACTGGGGGTATATAGCGCTGTTGTGTATTATATAGTATAATTTGTGATATGTATTATATAGTATAATTTGTGAGTGGGTCAGAATGGGTTTAAAGTATAGTTTTCAAGCCTCACCCATATTATAATTGGGTTTAACAAAAAATAAATAAATTTGGTCTAGTCCAACTCTACAGAGTAATTAAAAGACAAGCTCTGAGATAGAATGCAGTGTAATTTTCAAAATATGAGGAAAAAAATTATATTATGTAAATTTCAAGAGTGTTAGTGTAATTTATCATTTTTAACAAAACCTACCCATGAAAAGGGCATTTAAAAAATATATTAGTTTCCTACCTATTTTCATTTCCTTCCATTGTTTGTCCTCAAAAAGATAAACATAACAAAATAAATAGATGGTTGACATTGAAACACATTTTTCTTTTATAATTGAGGAATTGAATTAAAATTAGTAACACGGTTTAATTGAGGGATTGAGGATTTTAACTATTAGCCGTTACATAATACTGTCTCGAAAAATTATTCATCTCCTAATTTAGTCACCTTAATTCCATCCCCATTGATGTAGAATTTGGGGGCTATAGATGAGAGAGAGAAGCTGCGGCATGTGAGTCTTAGCCATGTCATTAGA